TCACACATAAGCGACTGTTGACGGGGATCCAATCGAGTAATGCATCTTCGGCTGTATTGTTGAGTGTAATGCCCAGATCAAGCTGGTTGGCTGAACGGGCTTCGTCATCACCTGACGTGCAGAGGAAGAACCTCGAAGACAACCCCGGTGCACTTAAGTGGCTTATAGTACTAGTATCCTGGATTCGTGTGTCCGATACGCAGCAGACATCGATCCCCAAAAGAGTGCATTGCACGTGCCAGACACACTTAGCACACAGTCTGGCATCAGACTATATTAAATATAGTATAATAATGTGGGCACATGAGTGCGCGACTACAGGTCCTCAAGGTGAAGGGTTTCTAAGGTGGCTACAGGAAAGAGCTCTCACGAAGCAAGAGCCACAAGGTATAGAGGACAACAAAGACCCTCGATTTCAGATCTAGTACTCACAAGGTATGCAACAGACATCTGTCGTACAAATACAGAGGAACCAGTAGGTAAGACCGATCACGAAGTACTTTGTCTTAAGTTAATGGTAAAATGCACTAAGAACGAGTGCACTTCAGCGAGATACTACGGACGTGTAAGGGGGTCGGAAATGGCAAGGGAGGCAACCATCATTGCCTGGTACCCGAAGTCTTCGGAGGCCATTGTACAAGATAGATGGCATCTGATAAAAGTGGGACTAATAAGGCTGACGGACAGGTTCTCCTCAATGAATTCAAAACGGAGTAACAACGGGCCGCTTTGGTGAGGTCCGCACATAGACAGGGTGCTAGTAAGCTGCAGATGCTAGGCCCGCTTTAAGCTGTACGGAACGCAGCACACTTGGTGCGAATACAAACGGGAACGAAACAAGACACAGAGGATCCAAAGAACACGCAAATATAACTTCCAGCTTAGACTGGCACAGGCAGCGAGAACGAACCCGAGGTTTACACGTATGTGCAGGCTAATGCTCATACACGAGAAAGTATAGGCGCGTTGGACGCACTCGGCGAAGTTGAAGCTACGAGCAATGAAGATAAAGCGAAAACGCTGCCGGGGTTTAAAAGTGTCTATAGTACGGCGACTCCAACGCCGCAACTGATAGGAGACAGACCGATTATAGCTAAAATCCATATAACTAAATCTGACGTAACTCGAGAACTCAAAGCACTGAATACATACAAGTCGACAAGTCCGGATGGAATCCATCCAGCCATAGTTCAGCCACTAACCGAAATTCCAACAGGGTCAGTCACTAAGCTCTTTAGGGAATCGCTCCAAAACGCTATGTTACCAGATGATTGGCGCACGGCGATAGTATTGGCTCTGCACAAATCTGGGTCCAGGTAGAAGGCCGAACACTGCAGATCCGTCAGCCTAACGTTGGTGCTGTGCAAGTGCCTAGAACGATTGGTTAGGAAGCAGATATGCCTGCACCTAGTGCACAATCGACTTCTGACACCGACACAGCATGGTTTCGTTGAGCGTAGATCTCACCAATCTGCTGGTATTTCTGGACGAGGTTACGCGGCGGTTGGACGAGGGCAGGAACGTAGAAGTATGCTATTTAGACTTCTCGAAGGTCGTCGACTCCTGCAACCATCGGCTATTGGATGTCAAAATACGAGGCCTCGGTATAGTAGGCAACACAAGAAATTGGCCCGTCGTTTTTGAGGAACCGCACCTTTAGTGTAAGGGTGAGAGACTATGAGTCGGAAACTGAATTGGTCCCGAGCGGAGTCCCACAAGGCTCTGTGTTAGGACCTCTAATGTTCCCAATGTTCATAAAGGATCTGGCACAGGATCTCCAAAATCCTTGCTTCATTTTTGGTAATGACGTCAAAATGGTGGGCACAGACTTGCAAAGGTATTAAAAGATAGTTCACTGGTGGACTGTTCAGTGGAGTCTGCCTCTGAATCTTACCAAGTGTGGGCTGTTGGCCGCCAGACCCAACACGTACTTGGTAAACGGTCTATTGCTACAACGAGCCTCACAAATGAGAGAAATCGGAGTTAATATGAACCACAACTTCAAGACCTCAGCTCAGATCCTCAAAGCAACGAACAAGGCTAAGGGAGAATTATTTCCCCTATGTGAAACAGTCACTAGCAGTCAACCGGAGGTTTTCGTACCTTTATGTAATACCATTGTTCACCGTCATTTAGAATATTATGTGCACCTTGATAGAAGAACGACAATATGTTTAGCGAAGGTGCAGCATCAGGCCACCCGAATGGTAGCTGAACAGAGGGGTAAAAGCTGCGAATAGGGACTAAGTTATCTCTGTCTCTTCTCACTTGAACGCAGAAGAGTGCGGGGTGACCTGATAGAAACTTTCAAAGTAGTTAAAGGTCTGTCAGGGCTCAACCTAGGTAATGTGTTTACCCTATCCACTGCACGAGAAGTCACAGCCTCAAGCTGCAAAGGAAACACTCTACTGGAGATTCGGGCTAACTTCTTTTTCACACAGGGTCATACCTATGTGGAACAAGTTACTTGAAGAAGTAGTCAACTGCATAAGCGTCAAAGCGCTGAAGGCGGCACTATATTTCTGTTGGACTGAGACGTTCCCAGAGGTCAGTATCCAAACAGGGATTCCTCTGGCATCAACGGGCACAAGTAGATGCTAGCCAAGGGACCTACAACGTAAGGGGTTACCCTACGTAATAACGTGTACGATGCATACGCACCAATGGAACGCTTTTAATGAAAGTCTCTCACCGAACAGGCGAAAAGACAACTTTTCCTTCTTCTTGTATAGCACGGGTTGTGAAAACCTCTACAATTGGAAACTATTTTGGTCAAGAAGGAACCCGCTGAACTATCGAATACGCAGTGTTGAAGGCACAGAACATTCGCCCAAAACACAACGAACTAGAAGCGCGATTGGCGAGAGCCATATTTCGTCCTGAAAAACAACTGAACTGTCTGTCGACGGTTCCAGTTCACATCTAGGACCGGCCTGTACTTCTCCGCCTTTTGTCTGGACCCCGATTTGTTCCAGCGGTTGCCTTCCGTCAGTCTTCTGACACTACCCCCAAGTTTAGTGATGCCTTAAACAATTCAGTGACAGGTTCTAGTATGTCCTCAGCTAGTGGCTGGATGGATCTCATCCGGACCCTCCACCTTATGCTTACACGGGCTTCTAAGCTCAGTCTGTACCTCGTCCTCCCTCACGGTTAGCATCTGAAGCTTGTTTTCATTGGTATCCTTCAAAGGGTTCCGGACACAATCACCAGGAGGTGGGCGACAGACACTTTTTAAATAATTCAGCAGTGTCCCAGCCCTGTCCCTATGTGTGCTGGCTGTGTTACCCTTCGCTATCTCCAAGGTTCCAGCACTTTCACGTGTGGTTCTCTTAGATTACGTATACGCAAAAGCCCTCCTCGGATTTGTTTTGATATTACTGGCTAGTTTCTTGTCATACTCGAACTTAGCTTCCCGCTGCATCGACTGTCTTATTTCTAGCCAACTTGTAGTTTACCCAGGCACTATGCATCCTGTGACGCTTGCAAAAGATCCAGCACCCTCCACGAGACGTGAGCACTCTTTCTATTCTAGGTAACCACCAAGGAGGTCTGCTCCTAGACCTATGAGGAACCAAAGGAGCGAACCCCTGAATTAACCCTAGTAGCCCGTCTCATATCGCCACCCATCGCTCTTCGACTGATGGCTCAGGTGTCTCAGGAAACCGACATGCTCTCAGCAGCTGTCCTTAGTTGATCCTCTTTGATCCTGGCGTAGTTTCTCTCTAGCCTAACCTTCTGCCTATCGTGTTTTGCAACAAACATTTGTCTTGGTGCCCATGATCACTCTTTCCTAACGGTTTGCCGAGGCAGGTAGCGGTTGGAAAAAGATCAAGGGCGATCAAACTAAGGCCTGGCATGAGGACATGAAAACCCTGACCAGGAGCCTGGCTCATATAGGTCCCGTTAGGTTTTCTGGTTGGGGACTCCGAGATCATGGTCACTGGTGGTTAGAGACACTGAGCAATATGACTGGGTGTCGCAAACAGTGGCACTCATGCATCTACTCATTACTCTCATAAATTCAGTCTATTTAAATGCACTATCTTCCGCTTGAATCTGCTCTCAACATTCTAATCATCATTCTGCTGTTTTATCAAAATGGGCAACCAAAACCGGCGCACGAAAGTGTATGGTTACTTGTTGTGGGAACTGAATTGACCTTTTGTAACGGTTCCACCGTCACCAGAGAAGTGAGGTCTGCTCGCTACCTAGTTATAACTAAGTCTAACGTTGAAGGACGATAGCCACCTCTGAGTCGTGTAGGTTGTTTGACGTGCCGTGCCAGCCCAGGTCAAGAGTTCTTCACCAGCAGTACCCCTCGGGGCGATTTCGTTGTTCCAGTCGATTTCTGGAAGATTGAAGTCACCCATTATGAGGAATCGCGGCGACTCTCAGTATGTCACCACTGTAGCAACACCACTCGGAGCGCACAAATCCTTCGTTTTCAAGAACTGCGGCATTGTGGGGGTATCCTTCCTGCTGCTTTTTGTCCCTCCTAAAATCTCTTTATCTGCGAATGCAGAATTAAAAGTTTGCCTTTCGGATGGATGTTTTCACCCCCAGTGCAGTACTTCTTATGGAGTTTACCCCTTTTGCCACACATCGCACCTTTCATGTAATACAATTAATCCAACTGCGGAGGTAAATTGTTGTACTGAATGTTATCTTTTGTCATGTAGTGGGTTTACATTTCATTTATTTCATTTCGTTTTTTTCTAAATATTAAAAACATCTGTCTAATCATACATTTTATTTCAGTGCCCAAACCTATCTTTCTTAGTGGGTACACATTTTTGTGATCATTCCTCTAAGATAAATGGATGTAAGTTACTAGCTTTTGCCTCTGGTTTATGCCTCACTCAGCTAGTCCAACGGCATTCCGTGCACACGTTAGTGTTTCGTTCGCTGAAACGTACTCATGATATGTTCGAATCAGATCAGGCACGCCTTCCTGAGGTGGACAAGGCGAGGTAAGTGATTTTTGTAGTTCTCTCTCTTAGTACAGTGAATATAGTGAATCTTTGTTGACTGCCGTCAAAGCTAAAGATCAGTATGGTCCCGTTTTGCAACAACCCTCAGAAAATCCTCTGAAAAATCCAAAATTAGGTAAAACTCGTTTTTATTTGGTAACTGAGATTCAACAGCTCTTCCGAGCGCGCCAAATGCTGGTTCCATCGTCCCCGTGGACAAAACCAAGCCAAAGTTTGTTTATTTGTCAATCATAATTGTTTGATTTTCACAGAACGGTATCAGAACAGAATACCTCAGTTGTTCAAGTTGGTAATGAGAAGTTGATTCTGCCAAAGAAAGCCCCGACTATGCCCAAACCGACATGGCATCCACCTTGGAAACTTTGTCGGGTAAGTTTTGATCTGTTTTTTGTCTCATACCATTTATAGGTTGTCAGCGGACATACGGGATGGGTGCGTTGTGTGGCGTTTGATCCTACAAACGAGTTCTTCGTCACCGGCGCTGGAGACCGCATGATAAAGGTGATTGGTTTTATTCAAAGTGACTCATTTTTAGGTGTGGGATTTCGCAAGTGGAACGTTGAAATTAACACTGACTGGTCATATTAGTGTTGTCCGGGGAGTGGTGATCAGCTCTCGTCATCCTTATCTATTTTCTTGTGGCGAAGACAAAACCGTTCGTTGTTGGGATTTGGAACAAAACAAGGTAGAATCGATTTTTATTCGATTTGATTGGTCAGGTTATCCGACATTATCATGGTCATATGTCAGCCGTGTACGATATTGATCTGCATCCGACGATCGATGTCCTTGTTACATGCGGCCGAGATGCAACAGCACGTGTATGGGATATGAGAACAAAAGTAAGTTCTCTTCAACCTCACAGTTTAAATGCACATTTTCGGAAGCGGCTTATTGGTGGTTGTCAATAGTGTACTCCAGACCCCACTGTCGGAGGTTTTGACCCCTCCACCACCACCACCAAGCTTTACTGTCACATCACTCATTGCTAAGGCTATCCCTGTGGGCCCGTACGTAATCCTCTACTTTAGGTCTTGGGTTTTAAATAGCCCGCGCCTATGTCAACAACGATAGAGATAGGACTCGTCGTTACTTAAAAATTTAAAGTTATTTTTTTTATTTCAAGTGAGTAATGGAGGATTTGACTAGATTTCAAATAGGAATTCATCGTGTATATAAACAAACGAAGCTTGAACTGAAATGCTACGAAGCATTGGACAGATGTTTCGACCTGGTTGGGTCTCATCAGCGGTCAGTCGGATAAATCAACTTCTCCTATCAGTAAAGGATCCGTGTTAACCGGTAAAAATGCACATAATATGCTCCGGGTTTTGAACTAAAAGTTTGACTCTGTGTATCCATCGGAACAAAACTTACGCTGATACACAATCCTGTGTAGTACAACGAAAAATAAGCGAAAAAAATTCATGAGGTTCCACAGTCATAGAAATCCCGCTTTGCGGGTTATGTTTCTTCAAGTGATGCCACAGATCAGTTTGCAAAGCGTGAGATATTTCATTCAAGTGTAACTGAAACAAGTTTCATTTGCTTCTTACGTACAGATGTATTTAACACACGCTTACTGTGTAGCGGTTCTTGCGTGTTTTCAACAGATTTGAATATGGGTGTGATTCTTGCGTGTCTCCATAGCACCGGGCTGGATAAGTATTACACTACCTGCTGTTCATATACAACAGTATTCCACCAGTGCTGGTTAGAATATACTCAATCACACCTGCTGGGATCCCGAAACGCTAAGTAATGTTCAGTTTGCTAACAAAGTGCCTCAATTTATCACTTTTTGTGCATAGTTTATTCATTGATTACACTAAACCGTCTTCCGTGGTGTGAAGGTATGCATGCTCACTTGAGCCGAGTTCGAAAATTTTTCTTTATCAAACAGGAGCCCGCATACTGTGTTTCGTCCTTGCTGTGGAAACCCTCAACAAGTGTCCTGTCCCCCCAGCCAAGCTGAACTCTAAAGTGGCTTACTTTTCGAATTAATCATGCATAGTAACTAGCACAACTTTAACCACAATTACCCAGATTCTCCTGAGGAGTCACAGTACTCATTGAAAGTTAGTGAGTAGGTTTATTTATCTTTTGAGTAAACCATGTTCATTTTTTTACTAGAATTCTGTGTATTCGTTCTACCTGAGCTAACTATTTTTTACCCGTCGCCTCTACTCCGCACCTCCCCAAAGGTTAATGTACACACTTTGAGTGGGCACTCGAACACTGTGGCCACAGTTCGGTGTCAAGAATCTGATCCGCAAGTGATTACCGGTTCACACGATGCCACCGTTCGCCTTTGGGATCTCGCTGCTGGTCGTACAATCACGTGTTTGACGAATCACAAGAAGAGTGTCCGCGCCTTGGCGATTCATCCCACTCAGTACGTGCTTTTCGCCTGTGCGTCTGTATTTCTGTCTGATCAATCGCCATAGATCATTGATAATATTGTTGCTGTTTTTCTATGGTACCAACTAGAGTTTCATCTCCGAAAATTTTCAAGAACATTATGACTAACTGGTTTGTATCGTTGCCTCTTACGCCCCTTGGTTTTCTCCCCGGTGCGCATGTTAGAACTGCGCTACCGTCAATCTATGTGATTTGGGAGCAGATCTAATAACATCTAACATAGTACCATACTCTTCCTGCTGAGGGTACTATGGGATTGTCGGCTCCCGTTATAAGCTGTTTCCCCCTGCAGTCTGTTGCTTGTGAAGGGCCCAATACCAAGCATATGGTGATCATTGGTCCAATTCACTGTCATTGGTGTGATTCGGGCCACGAGGTCCGAGGTTCGAACCCATCCATCGCCATCCGACTTTGATGGTAGGTAGCTTCATTGTTATCCGGCTCAATACCATGTCTAACTTTGTGGGGCCTTATGCGGTTCGCCACTCGAAGTCCCGGGGCTTAGATTGCCGGCTTCCACAAGTTAACAACCGGTCTTCGTGACTGTGGGGTTTTAGTATCAATCACACAAAGAAAGGAAATTAACAGATTCAAGAGGTCGTGTAGTCAACCTTACGCTCTCTTACTGATTATCTCAAGTATACCCCGGATATGTACTACAAGCTTCCTCATGTATTCCTCTTGATTTACCGTATATTGTGTCCCGTATTTTTCTCCTTCAGAAACGCATTCGTCTCTGGTTCCCCGGACAATATCAAGCAATGGAAGCTCCCAGAGGGCGTATTCCTGCAGAATATGTCCGGTCACAATGCAATTGTCAACGCTTTGGCTATGAATCAGGATAGCGTGGTTGTCAGTGGTGGTAAGTTGTCATCGACCTCGTTGATTACTGTCTTCTTTTCTCTTGTCATGCAACCAACGTATCGGGTTCCAATCATGTGTTTCATTGCGGAATCGCTCATTTTGTTTCGGTCCAGTTACTTGGTTATCATAAGTGTATTTCCTCAACCGGGTTCACAAGGCAGCTGTGTGAACATTTGCAGTTTACTCCAGGAAGTATCTAAACAGACGACAGGTCTTAAGCCCTCTATGTCCAGAGCGATCCAACACATTTTATTTATCGAACGAGCGACCTGTTAACTACAACTCGGGTGTACTGAAATCAACTTGCGCGCCCCTTTAAAAGAATCGCGCGGTCAGTTCATCTGCACCGCAGTGACGCATCTAATCGGGTATTGGCCAGGGATGTTTACTTCCCGTGTTCTCACCTAAGTAAAAAATTTCCTCCTCCTCGAGTAGGGTAGCTGGTCACACTTCTTCAACAGAGCCAATAGGGATTAGTTCGAGTTAAATCCGTTTACAAAATCATCCATCAACAACTACACATACTGAGTCGTTTGTGGGTGAGAGGGGTTCTCGTTCCATTGAAGATATCTTTGATTTAATGGTATCAGTTTCTGTCCCAATTGGGCTGACGAGAAAGGTGCTGCGGTTAAGGGTAGAACACAAGATGATTCTCCCTGGGAACAACACTATTGTCCGCATACTTTAGGTCTACAATCCATTTATATAGAATATGTTCCCTTCTGGAGTGTGTTTCATTATCCACGGTAATTGAACACCACACTGACTACCTTTCAGCCGAGAGAGATTATTTATCAAAAGAAAAAGGATGAAAAGCTAATATCTGCGTGGATAAGCCACAGCTGGCCAGCCCATATAGGGAGGGACTGGGGGAAAATCCCTCTTTTCAAACTACGCCTGTGTGAAACACTGGTGTGCCTGAATGAAACCGAAACGTAACAGAGACACTGATCACGGAGTTGGACGTGAATCGTGCTCAAAGAATTATCGTTGAGCAAAATCATTTTTGTCCTTTATTAGCTAGAAAACCGTAGTTTCACGCAAGAGGTGTACGCACTAACTGTAGGTTACAGCCACCAGTTAGACTCAACAATAATGTATTTGTTTGGGATGGGCGGGGTTCGGACATGTGAACCACTTCCACCTGATTAGACATCAACCCTGATGAACTGTGGTATTTTCATTGCTGTCCGGCTCCTGCCTGTCGAAGGTCTCCGGATGTGATTCCCGAAAATGATCACCTAGCAATATTGCAATAAAGATGGTTGTATCGTGGTCTGTTTGCCGCACAATTGGAATCCAGACAAGTGTCGAACCGCTGAATGTAGCCGTCATAATCGTATTGGAATCAATGTTAATTTCCATATTGCTCATTGGTGTGTCCTGTTTATTAAAATATGATTTACCAACGGATTTCGAATTGTTTTCTCCCTCTCAAGGTGATAACGGAAGTATGTACTTCTGGGATTGGAAGTCTGGATATAACTTCCAACGTTTACAAGCCCAAGTTCAACCTGGCAGTATCGACTCCGAAGCAGGTATCTTCGCGCTCGCGTTCGATCGTAGTGGATCTCGCTTGGTTTCATGCGAGGCAGACAAAACAATCAAGATATTCAAAGAAGATGAGAATGCGGTACGTTTTTCTGTTTTGTATGTGTCTAACTCGTTCATCCTTTGTCCCCTCTTTTTCCAGACGGAAGAGACGCATCCACTGTACTGGAGACCGGGTTTACTCAAAAAACCAAAGTACTGATTACTGTTGTACCTATACTCTCACCAACTGTGCAGCCGTTTGTACACAACAACTATAACTCGCTTACTTCATTTACTTCCTTTTGTTTTACCCCATATTCGTTCGGATTGAGATTTAACGGATGAAATAAGAAAGGAATTCGTGAATCCCACAAATGGACGAGTTGATCACTTCCAAAGCGTAGCAAGAAACTCATGCTTTGTAAGCGAATCCAGGTTTCCTTTTTTACGCTAAGGTTCTGATGTGTGTGTTAGTCCCTCGTGAATTGGAGGAAAAGTGTGCGTGTTTTGGTCTGAGAAGATCCGTCGATTCGGATTTGTTTGAACTAAGAAGTCTTTGTTTATTGACTGTACAGTCAACTTTCAGGAAGAGGGTCACAGCCATACACAGGCTGTTTGGGAAAATACAGAAGTGGAGAAGACGGGTGGTGGTGGAGCGGTTTGAACCCGGGTCACAATTTGATGACCTAGCCACTAAGCCAACACCGCCCTGTGACAAGATCATGAGCGTTGCTGAATGTTATGACCAGTGTTCAACTACAACATTCGTACCCCGGTGCTGAAGGTGCGCGCTTCTTAGACGTACTTACTCGACAGGATAGATTCTCAAAATTGGGCAGTTATTCACTGGACGGGTATTGGGGCAAGTATGAAAATACACACGTAGCCCAAATCGTTACCGAGATAGACTGTGCTCCAGGCCCTGTGCCGAAACTTCAGATTTTTTCTGCATTATTGATTCTAACTGTATCGAAATGATTTATACATATGAACCCATGCTGCCTTCTGACGATACATGTATTGTGCATTTTGTTGCGCACGAAAGCATCCACTGCACGAATTTTCGTTCTGAGACTAGCCCAGATAACGGTAAATGCGGCGGATCCGCCAATTGAGACTCGCAGCCAGTGGAGTCGCAAGTATCCGTCATCAAATAATCATGACGCAAAACCATTCGGTCGGCATGATGGGGTTTATCAACTGCAATAGGGGAGGGGGTGATTGCGGTGCCCAAGAAAATCGAGAACGCGTGGATACCGGGAACTCACACATTGGCAAGTCGTCCACGAGTGAGTACAACATGGTCTCGTACATGGCTATCCGCATATCGACCGCCCAGACCTTTCCCCGTCTCAGTATAAAATGGGGTGCGCTGACGAAGAACAGATCCCCCCGCCCCCCTAAAACAAACCATTCACCAATCTTCTGTTTAGACCTGAAAGACATTGTCGTGACTATACTAGTATTCACAATCTCGTTGTTCTTCCCGTGAAAGATCGAATCCTATTTGCTTATGCTAGAGGAGTTGATGTTGTTGTGGTGTACAATCGACTGAACCGCCACCCACACATCCCGTTGTTACGATTGCCCAATGCAGCTTGCCATCACACACAGGCAAGCTTTTCAGGCAGAATTACTCCATCGTAAGACCGATCCGCCTCGACGAATAAGATTTCAGTATTCAACTACCCACTGATTGATTTCATGCTTCTCTAATCGGCCGACTTGTTTACAACCCGGTTGCATGTATTGCTTGTGCTTGCTCACGTACGCGTCCAAAGATGAACTCGTATACAGATTGTTCTTGCTAATAAACGGAATTGTCTCTTTACCACTCGTGCCCCCAATGGCGTACACACCGTTGGGATTCGACTCAACACGCCTACACTTTCGTAAGACGTGTAATGTACCAGTGCATTGTGTAAATGTCACTCAATCATCTGCCTGCACGGCAATTTCAACTTCTCATCTTGATCGTAGATATCATCCGGTTGATTTTAGGAAAAACCTGTCACAGCAGCTAGCCCCTACGCTAATTGCTTAATTCCACATACCTCGAAGCTGGGTGGGTGATCAGACGCGAAAGGCCTCGAGGTTTTGCTGCTGCGGTCTCGTAGCCCAGAAAGTAGAGTGATGTGCAGCTGTGTCGGTTCTAGTCCCACCGAAACTTTTGGTCTTTGGATAATTCAAATAACGATTTGAAGAAAGTTCGGGTACACGGAGGCGTGGTCGGTTCCAAGTCTTATCGCCTAAAAGCAGTTGGGCATACGGTCGGGTATTGGCACCTCACCACCCTCGACAATGGACACACGTCAAGTCAAGATGCATGGCAACTCGCCTTTGTCCAGGATAAACGTACTGGACAGATACCCATGTCGTATTCACTGATGTTGTACCACATGGTGATAAGGTCAAAACTTACCGAAGACAGCGTTCAAAGGGAGGTAGAACAGAAGTGGTGATTCTCTAAAGGAAGTTCCCCGATCCACCGAACAATCAGGTTACTTGATCTTCTCGGACAGTGGGTGAGCTTGCATATCAGCACACCATTTGCTTTTCATTGAACACCTCAGTAGAATTGATAAGATATGAGTTGAACCAGTGGGTATACGAATTTACTGTTAACCGGTTCAAGAGACAGAATACTGACTCGACCGAGTATGCAGCTAACCTCGAGGGGTAAAAGCGTCTCCGCAAACAAATAAACTCTGAAGTGACTTCCACACCCCGTTGACCGGATTGCATCTTCTGGTTTTCACAGAAATTGCATCCTCTCCGGCACAAACAGACTTGATAAGTGAAGAACACTTGTCAATAGATATATGTTGTCCCAGACTCATGGACCAAAAGCGATCCCCTAATAGTGATGGTTCAATACCGCCCAACCCAGTGGGACCTTATGTGGTTCGTCACTCCAATTCCCGGGGCTTAGGTTACCATTTTCCATCGCTGAACAGCGGGTCCTCGTGACTATGGGGTTCGCCCCCTCTACTGTTCATCAAACAAAGTGTGTTATAAAAAATATTTGCAAAGTATGTGAAAATAATTCATTCAACCGCTTCTACAAAATTTGTTGTCAATATTGGTCAAACAAGCAATTCTTTGATACTTATTCGCTGTAAAACCTTGTCTCACGTTGACAGGTATGCGTGGAATTCAGTAAAACAAACGGGAAGCCGTTTCAAACGAAAAATCCACGAGAAGCTAGTAAATATTATTTATCCGAAAGGCCTCAACCTCCGCTTAGTAGCAAATTAGCTTTTTGTTAGAGATGATACATAACGGGGAATGTGATCCCTGTACTGGGCCTGTTTAAGCATACAGATGGCAGAAATGAACAGAATGTGAATCAGGTTCGTGGATCTTGAGAGCACAACTCATGAGCGAAGCAAAGGGCGGATCGCGCGATTTACTGACGAGAGTCTGTTGGAAGGAGCGAAACGCAGTTGTTGATGGCCAAACCGCGATAGAGTACGGCGAAACCGGCAGAGATCGCTTGGAAAAACGCTAATACATAGGGAACAAATTGCAGATTGTTTCGTGAGAAATTTTTGGAGCTTACGCATACGGAAGTACAAGCGTCTTATTTCAAGGAGACCCGAAGGAATGTGATAGTATTCAGTCCGTACCGGAAAAGTATATATTAGTTCATTTCAAAGCCTTGGAACAAATAATCTCCTTGTATCTCTCAGAGACCGAACATTACCGATATTGTTTGACGCACTGAATTGTTTCTTAGGCTCCCTACTTAATGGCAGCTGGAAGAGAGAATCACCGCATGCGTAGTTTGATCAATGTGTTATGGACAATCTCATTAATGTAGGTAGAACGACCAGACAGACTTCTCTAAGGGGACTACATATGATAGATAGACGGTTATGACCATCTCGTTTGTTTGTTCTCAAGTATACATGCAATCAACTCGGTAGAAAAATGTGGACAATAGAAAGTGTGTTCACATGCTGAAGTTACGAACAGGGAGAGAGAGTCAATTGTAAATTCCAGAGGACCCTTCGGAAAACGGAGTCGATAGTGGACGAATACTAAAACTAACATCGTGGGCATATTTCATTAGTGGGTATTTGAAACGATCAGGCTTGAAGGATGCCTAATAATTGTAAAAGGAAGAATGAGAGAACAGTCCCCGATAGAGTGTTCTGTTACCTAAAGTAGGATTAGGCATTTTGGACCATGATCGCAGGATTACGAGCGGAGAATTCTTGAGGGATTTTGATACTCAAGCACTGCTATATATATACACTTCCTGGGTACACACATTAGAATGGAATGACACCATATTGCCGGGCACGCATGTCTGACAAGCAGCCAGAACCTCGAAATCGGTCGTTTGTTTCCAGAGGAATTATGTCGAGTCATTCATAAACTGCTTATTGTAATATATGTATACCAACGATAATATAAAAGGGGACAAAAGGGAGTGGTGTGAAGAAACTTGCAGAGAACAACAAGAGCAGATTTTGTTTGTTTCAGTGTAAATTTTTGGATTTACTGATTATCCTTCGGACTTCACTTTCACGCGCAATCCTCAGTTCATCGATTCAACCATACATTCGAAAGCACTAGACTCGAGCTTTGTTCTTATTAGAGCTCGTCAGTAGTGCATATTCACCGTCCCGTTCGGGGTTTGAACTCCGGACCCATCACCCTGGAGAGGCGAATATGGGAGAACAGCAAGCAGTATTTCGACTACGTAGCAATTGTATAGATCAACTATCCACATTGCGTCATGTCTTCGGGCTAGGTCACACGCATCTTCGATCAACCATCGCAGTGTTCTCCGATCTAAACGGGCTCTTTGACTATATTGAATTTGAAGCTTTTTAGGGTTCGCCTCTTCTAGAAGAGATACCGCTGACGTATATGAAACTACTGAGGTCACTGAACTCGCATACATCTCGTAGCGTAACGTTCTACGGTGAGCAAAGCAAACCGTTCAAAATAATTAGCAATGTTCGTTGAGGTCGCCCTATTTCGCCATTCCTGTTCAATTTTGCCGTAGACGAAATACTGGAGAAGCACTTAATGGTCTGCAAAATTTGGGTATTGAATGGACTACTGGGAAAAGACTGTGTGATGTAGAGTACGCTGATAAAGCGTTTTATTTATTCAAATGTATGGGGGATATGAAAAGCGCACCTGACAGAATGCCAAGTTCTGTTGCGCCATTCGGTATGTGTTTTGCAACTTCCAATTGTAAAGTTATAGTGAAAGACTGGATATCGTCTACCTCGGCTCAGATGACCCATGATCAACAACTAATTACGAAGGATTGCACTTTCTAATTGGGGAGTTATGAGACCAAAGACGGTAAAAGTGCAACGGAAATAACAGCACGCACTTCCAGCAGCATACGCAGGACTAAAACACCTTTGGTGAAGTGACGTTTCATTGAAGTTGAATAGTCGCGCATAATGTGTCACAGTTCAGTCAATCCTACTTTGCGAGACATTGGGTCTGTATAATATTGGGAACAGGGATCGGAATCGAAAAGCGCGAACTCAGACTCGGACTGAAAACCCACTGAATAGCGCAAAGTCAGGTAGAACCGGGACGAGCTGTGAATACAGTTAATTCTATTCGCAAAATCATGCAAATAAGTATCATAGGAATCAAACAGTCATTGGTCGATTCTTCAAGGTCCAATCGGCAACGATATGGTTCATTTGTCTGCCTTTTTGCATTCAGCCAATCCGGTTGGTGCCAACTGAGACCACAAGATTGTTCGGTAAATCCGTTTATTGGTTGGTTATCCGGAAGCTACACCGTGGTGCGTGCGTACTTGTTACACGATCAACACAGTCTGCCAGTAGAAGACACCCATCACCTGAATGTTTTTGATACTGAATTTCTATAACGTGAAAGGGATAGTGTGACGTTGTTAGTAAACTAGAGATGAGGCATTGTATTTGGGTACGCGTCAGCTATCACATCAAATTCGAATTAGTAGGCTTCACTGATTAGGACACACTGCATGTTTAGAGGTCATGTAATGTAAGACATCAAATTTCTACTTTGGTTTGCTTATAGTCAAGATAAATATTTTTTCTTTAGACTAAAAATGGTTTTTGTATCAAATAATTCAATCCCCATGTTTATGACCACTTGTAACATCTACCACCGGTTATACTGATACCGTGATTTTTCATGGTGTCCTTGATTATATCATCATGTATTATATTTCACACACGTCTGAGACCGAACTGTGTGCCAAACTAATCATGGTACAGTTATCTTTATAAAAAGAAGAGCCGATACACGACTTGCATGTGACCTGAACACTGCCAGGTTGTCAAGGCCAAGGCAGTCGAAATTTATTGAAGAATCCATAATCGGAGCCTTTGGTTAGCATAAGCGTGGCCCGCAAGGCAGCAGAGTGGCGTATGAAACTGCAATCCATTGGGGATCGGTTTCCAGTTCATCGGATCATGAACCCATTGGATGGGGTCAACAGTCCAAGAAACCCAATAGACCTCAATGTCAAATGAAGCCGGTGAGCATTGCCACAACCGGAAAGGTGTGTCATTCGTACGCCTCATCCTGGTTGGTTCGATATCAGGCATTTTGGCCAACTCCCCTAAGGGGACTGACAGTTTTTCACCAAACCGGTTATAGCCCCGAATGTCGTCGTCTCACTTTGGTTGGAAAACAATTCCTCAACGAGAAGGCAGNAGAGATTAGGGCTACCTCAGCTGAGGCTATTTGAGGCACTTAGTTGTATGGGAGCATTTCGCGAGGTGCAAGGTAGGGGTTACCAGCCACAACTCGATACACCCATCTCAACCATACGGAAGCTTCCAGAGGCTGGTCTCCTTGAGAACGACTTTATTCTTCTGAGATCTATAAAGAATATGGAAAAATGCAGTCATAGTTAGAGATGTCATTGGTACTAGAGTCACTGATGCATTTAACGAAGTCCCTTATACTGCACTGAAGTTTCAATTGCTTTGCACAATGAATTGTACACAGCCGTGTCCGCATTCGCCACCCCCGCTAGTTTAGAAACGTTGTATTCCCACAGTTCTGGGGATGCAGTTCCGTCATTCTATACCTACAGGTGCAATTACAAAAGGAAACTGTTAATACCTAATTCCAATCGTGACGCTAATGCACCGTATTCTTAGGGGCCCCTAACCGAAATAACAGAAATCAGAACACACAAGACAGCGTGCTGGTCGGAAACGGATTACCGACTTGATCGTGACAATACATCAATCGATTACCGAAGGCCTAAAACTAGGTCAAGTTGGCTCACGGACATAATGACCCGGTAGGGTATTGGTCAACGTCTGCAGTGAACAGCTGTATCACTTGATTGGACGATCGATAACTTGCCATTCCGTTCAGCATGAGTTGTGTTCATGTCTCAATGGACTCTCCCTCTTTTAGGCGCTCCATTAGTGTTGTTTTCCCCTGTAGTTCTTTACATAATGCGGTCAGCTTATTCACTAAACCATTCAACCACATGTTCCACACTTATGTTATCATTTGGAAACAGTAGTTGTCTGTAATGGCAGAAGAGCAAATTAACTGTGAAAATTATTCAGCGGACAGAAGGAACGATCATACAACGCTAAAAACTCAGTGGATGTCAAGCATAATTCCAGCCTGATCAAAGTGAAATCAATCACTACCCTGTATCGTACGCCACCCAGCTTCCTCAATGCAACAGTAGTAAGCGAATTTGGTAAGGTATCAAACTGTTTTGTGGGACAAAAGCCCAAACTCCGGATTTGGGAAGCATTAACACATTATCTATCTGCCCATCAAACGATGGCACCATGCTAGTTGCTCTGGATGATGCCATTCAAGTAGAGACAGTTTCGAAAGAATAAGCTTGTGATCCTCTGTGCACCACAAAACCCACGTCCGGTGTTCATCCCGATGGTCTTTCACCCTCCTTTTCGATATATGGAGTCCATTCTATTGAAATATTAGCACCATTTTTAAACATTTCTCTAAACATCTACTCCATGCGAGACTGTTGGAGACCGGTAAAAACTAATACCATTCACAAATCCTATAATTCAACTGTTCTGACTAAATGCGTCTGTCCTATCGTTCTAACGTCTGTGGGTCTTCTACTAACAGCACCTGTTGTCCTTACACGCATTCACTGTTCGCTATTTCTATAAGAGAACTTAATGAATCAGGCTAGGTCGAAGGAGTCAAAATCATTGGTGAACAACTGTGTTAAATTCTGTGCTTTTGTTCTAACCCACAATCTCTCCCGGACGAGCCGTGCGGAGATCGTTTACAATAGTGTTCGTAAACCGTCTTTTTATGATTTCAGGCTTAGGAAGCTCGTTGTACCTCAAATGTAATTTTTAAAATTTTTGGTGGCATGTTCTCCTCCATTAGTTGTATTGTTCTCCGGTATTTTTTCCGATCTGAAAAAGGATTTCACACTAATCCTCGAATCAATGAAACTCCTTTCAAAATGTAGTGGCATATACAGAAATGCCCACCTAGATTTCATTGTGTGCAAGTATATCGGCGCATGTGAAAGATTAGCTGGAAGAATCGTGGACAACGAATATCACTGTTTGCACAGTGAGCTTCTTGAGTCGGTTTCAAAGCCCCGTTCCGGCCCCCATTATAAGCTCCTTTCCGCATGCACCGTCAAATACAGAAACAGCATCCTCCATTTCCTTCCCCCGTTTCTAGTGAACCGGGTACTAATCATTACAGGTTTGGTGGAATTTGTCATGAGTTAGTTTATGCGTTTTTAAACAATCACTATCGTCTTCTTGCTCGCAGTGCGCTGTCGCTTTTGTTTACCCTCTTGCTTTTTTCACCTGTTTTCCTGTGTTGTCGTGAAAATCGCTGAAAATACACCCTAAGAATGCATAAAATCTAGTTGACTTGACTCACTCCAAGGTTAAGTCCTTCCTTATACGTATCTTCTGCATATATTAGCGCTTTGCCAGCGAACGCCCCTACTTCTCTTCAAATACGCTAACGATATGGTTCTATGGCAGGCCATCTCCGACTCACCTGGTCTTTTACAATTTTCTGACAACTGGGAAAAGGTTAAATTATTTTCTGCTACCTCTGGTCTCAATTCAAATTTTTCGAACATCTCTTTACGATTCTTCGTTTTTCTTCCCCGTTTATTCCGGTATCGGTTAGTACTTAACCTACAAATACCTCAGTTATGGTCATGGTGAGTGTCTAGGCTTGCGGCTAATCACCCCGTCCGCACCATATGACCAAGCATCTCAAATGGCCTAGGCTGAGGAAGCCCTATTCATAGCCTTCTCGTGGCGGAGGTAGTGTAACACCAAAGTGAGAGGACGAAAAGCCGACATCCGTGGCTATAACCGGGTTGATGGACCGCTCGTAGTTCACCTATGGGAGTTGGTCAAAATTTCAGCTCCCAAACTGACCAAGAAGACACGTACGAAACACACGTACACCTTCCTGGTTGTGGCAGTGGTCACCGGCTCGATTGGACATCGGTGTATTGGGTACCTTGGACGTTTGACCCCGTCCGAAGGGCGTATGATACGATGAACTAGAAACTGGCCCCTAATGGATTACTGTTTCACACACTGCCATATTACCTTGCAGGCTAGACCTTGGTTAGCCGACGGCTCCGGTTGCGAATTACCTACGAAATGCACCTGCTTTGATCTGGGCAACCTAGCAGGATCACGCCCTCGAGTAGATCACAGACCGTTTTTATAAACATAATTGTAGCATTTGTTTGGCACACAATCTGAACTGGGACGTGACTTAAAATAAAACCATAAAAACTTAACCGGTGTCCCGGGTTATCTGCACCAAGAACCTGTTTGTTCCGATGATAACCTTCATTGAACCTCTCACATTCCACGTATCACTTCTTAACTTCGACGACTTTCTATCCGTATTCGTAAACGTCGTTAGTTACAAATTCAACAGTCGATCATCGCCAAGTTCGTGTACTAGTGTCTTCCCTTGTATAACTCTACTGTTCACTCGTTGTTTTCCTAATCTCTTAAAGAAAGACAAACTGATCTGCTTCGACGTGGACCGACCAGCATTAGCCACATCTCTTCAGTCCCGTGCAAGAGCTAATAACTAACCTGTGCGATAATCACCAGCATCGTACAGTGGGGCGAATTGCACTGATCGCTGCCAAGTTCACAATGTACACAAGCCAAGTGATAAAACACAACGTAGGGAGAGATTGGGTTTGATTGGAGGGAGGCAACGAAAGTGAATCTCGATGGTCAACACACAGAGTACACAATCTAAGTGTGCATGCATAGCTTTTCAAGCATTCTGACTTTATAAGAAATGACAACAAGAACGTCACTGCTGTCGGTTAGTCGCCATATCCTCCAATGACTCCAACCAACCAGTTGCAGTCTTTTGTACCTCAACCTAGAGGACAGAAGACACCTATTCTACCTAATAGCATTTCTTCATGCCTCGTTTCCACGTCGTCCATTAACATCCATGTGGTCTCTTCCAACCTGGAGCCGCAACTGCCAATAGGGCGCGGTGCGGGAGACGATGGCTGGGCATGCGCAATGTGTCCAAACCAGCGAAGCCGACTGATTTTAATTGGACGGGATAACGAATTCTCCATCGAATCATTACCAAGTACGAGAAGCCTTACCTCAGAGTTGCTTACAAGCGCGCTCCATCCAACCCGCGCCAAACTACGTAAACATCTGCGAACCTCATTTGACAACATATGAAAAGATTGCACACAAGAATCATATGGATCCCATACATCCCCTGCACAAAAAATCAATTTCCTGTCGCTCACATTCATCAACTAGATCCCAATATCGCTGTGCCCCCACTCGAATAAACATATACTTTTATTCCACGGTATCCTTTTTAGCACGTATACTAGTAAAAAAAGAACTTTCTTGAACGTTTCGGGATCTAATTTCTTTGTTTTTCTTCGCTTTCGACTGAAATGTCGACTTTGAGACTACAGAAGTTATAATTATCATTGTTGTGTGATACTACTCACAAGTGAGTAGTACGCAAAAAGATGCGATCAGCGATTTCTCTCAACGACCAAAAATGAACAAGACCTGCTAGGGCAAAGTGTTGCTGTTTGGTACGCTGAACACAAGCATGCGCATCTGTTAGTGGACCGTTGCACTACATATCCTGTTTGCGGGAATTCTGATGACTTGTTCCAAATGATATTTTGTCATATGAATGAAAATTTAACCATATCCTGACCGTTATTGGCAATAAACGACTATCCTCGACCAGGCACCGCTTCTGGAATTATAACACCGTCACAATCAACTTCCTTGGGGTAATTGAGCCGGTAGAAAAGGAGTAAGAGTCCAAACTTGATCTACAATTCCGACCAACCTGTAAATGCACCACATAAAAGAATGTGTATGCCAATGAAAACATATGGTCTATTTACATATTTGAGTTTGTACAAATGACGACAAAACAGTAGGACTAAGTGGCATTTATCGTTTTGGTTTTTTTGCAGGGATCTCTTCGCTCTCCTTGTCTTCCGAATTTGAAGCCTCCTGGATCGATACAACACANCAACACATGGCATCGGTAAAAGCTTGAGGAGAGTCAAGGCACCGTGTGCAGTACGGCTTCTCCACAACCCATGGGTGACCACAGCGTATGGGGCTTTGGTTAGTGCATGTTTCACGATGTGCTTTGGTTGCAGACCAAGACAGGTAATAATGGATGCCATTGCCAGGGGGCGCCTAACTTCCCAGCCACAAGTAGCTCCTGAACTAAAAACGAATGCTTTGTTAAACGAAGTACGAGTGATAGCCAGCAAGTTGGTGATCATGTGTCCGAAGCTAGTCCGAGCGGAAGTGCCAGCTTGACCAGGTCGTAAAATGGGACTCAGCTGCAGCTCCAAGTGTAAACCACGTGAAAGTAGAACAGCACACTGTTTGCTGGTTAGTCGGAAATCGGTAGTTTTGGTATAGTCAAGTGTGATCATGTCTATAGAGGGTGCCTGTTCAACGGCGTACGACAGAGCTTCTGAGGATGAGGGACAGAGACTGACAATGTCATAGGCGTTGAGCATTTCCCCGAACTCTCGAAAAAATAGTCCCGTGAGAGAAGGATCTTCACAATGCAATGTGATTCGTCGAAAAATTCTCGGCGTAAAAAATGACGCGGGAGGTTGAATTGTGGCACGAAAGGCATTGCTCTCCTCCAGACATTTGTTCAATTTATCCGTTGGTGTTGGTTTTAGTTGGGATACCAATGATGCGCGCATTGTTTGACGTTCCTCTTTGGTCTTTTTTCTCACAGAAGCATCTTCTCCTTTCAGATTGAAATTGAAATCATCTATATTTACAGAGTGACTGACGGCTATACACTGGTAACCGGAATCGAGAACCCGAGCAAGAAGCTGACCGTTGAAGGAAGAAACGGGTATATCTAAATCGTAAACTCGATTCTCCATGATTGCCTGGGTGATACACCGTCACATAAATCTGAAAGGACAAGATCAACGGTCTATTAGATATGGCAAATAAATTGACAGTATCTGTGTATGTTAACAGTAATCATCTTGAAAATAAAATTGGCAAAACTTCGAAGTACATTTGAAATCTTGTATTTCAACTGATAACGCTCGATGATGGTTCAAGTTAACCGTTACATGAGGCACGGGAAGGCAATTAATGTGACTGGGAAAATGNATGATGCGTTCTATAATGGGAAATGGAACGACGAGATTTGCGTATAAGAAATGTAGCTCATTGTAGTGCGCGAATAGCCCGCTTTTCTCTGACGAATCAGCTACAAACACGTCGTTGCAGCTCCCTGTAGCCGACAAACAGCGCACTATTTGCTGACAACGTGCTACTTGGTTCAGTAACGGAGACGGACACATAATGCCGCGCGAACGCCTGCACCTTGTCACCGTTCGTTTCCACCCGGGGCACCCTGGAACTACAATGACGGTATGTCAGCCATTGCCCGCGTTCGGCGTCGGAGGTAAGCATAAAATCCTTTTAGCATAATGGCTGATTCTGATGCTAACGACTGATGATACATCCCCGTTTGGTTGATTTCATCTCGGAACAGGCTTTGCGTAGTGACATACCTATGCAGGTGAAACGCTCGATTCCGACGATTCAGCATCTGGTGAGGCTCGCGGTCAGTTCAGTTCTCACAGGACGAACTGTGAATCTTGTCAATCGTGCGTCCAGGTCCTTGTATTGTCGGCGGTTTCGTTGGATGCCAACACTTCAAGTCAACAGTGTTTTCTCAAACGCAGGCTTCCGAAAGCTTCAGTATGGTCGGGGGTGGGTGTTTAGGGTTGCGGCTGTTCACCCTTCCCTTGCACCTCTCGAACTGCTCCCATACGATCAAGCGTCTCAAATAGCTTCTGGTGAGGAAGCCCTACTCACTGCCTTCTCGTGGTGGAGGTATTTTCCCACCAAAGTGAGAGAACGAAAAGCCGACATTCGGGGTTATAACCGGATTGGTGGACCACTGGGAGTTGGCCAAAAGCCCTGATTCCAAACCAACCAAGAGGTATACGAACCACACCCACACCTTTTCGGTTGTGGCAGTGATCAACGGCTCGATTGGGCATCGAGGTGTATTGGGCACCTTGGACGTTTGACCCCGTCCGATGAACTGGACACCAGCTCCCAATGGATTGCGGTTTTCACACCGCCCCGCTGCCTTGCGGGTCAGGCTTTGGCTAGCCGAAGGCCCCGGTTGTGGATTCCTCAAGAAAATTCACCTGCCTTGGCAACCTGGCAGTATTCGGCCCACAAGCCAATCATGGAACGTTTTTATTTTTTATAGTGATTACTATACCATGATTTGCCTGGCACAACCTGTCCTCAGACAAGTGTGAAATATAATTGTTATGTTGTTTGTCGTTTCGCATTACTTTGTATTCCTCTCTCTAAATTTCCCCCTCATTCTTTTTCAGCCCCTGTCATCCATTTGTATGTTGAATAAAGCCTAGATATCTGGCCTTCGTTTTCTCCCTGTTCAACGGCTATTACGATCGTCTCGCACACCAATTTATTCAACATATAAATTATCTCAAAACTGAACGCCACCTGCCACCCGAAAGATTCGATACGGACCTGAATACTCCTAATTCCTTGAAAATATGGCGACACTTGTTTTGCACCGTCGACAGATTTATTACTAAAATTGGGGTTGAAGATCCCGAAAAATTGGATTTTCTCTACAATTACATTTCTCCAAGTACCTGTGATTATGTTGGGGATTGTAAATCGTACAGTGATGCTGTGAAAACCCTGGAAAAGCTGTTTATCAGACCACCAAATGAGGTGTTCGCCCGGTATATACTGGCCACCTGCCATCAGGAACCAGGGCAAAATTTCGATCAATTCTTTTAGAAGCTCAAATCTTTAGCCAAAGATTGCAACTTTAAGACCGTAACGGCTGAACAAAATCAGGATGACGCCATACGAGACGCCTTCATAAGCGAGTTGCAGTCAGGCGTTGTGAGACAGCGTCTTCTTGAAAACAAATGTCTAGACCTACCGACCGCCCAAGAACTAGCTCGATCACTTGAAAGGGCACAACAGTCCAATGCTTTTCATACATCACCAATGTCGTATACAGAAGCAGCCTCAAGTTCATCTGAACCAATAGAAAGAACCACGTGTGATCTCAAGGAAAGCAACAGCCCACATGTGCAAACGTCAGCCGCGATCAAAAGCAAACGCTAATTTTGCGGAAACGACAGACACCCTCGTTTCAAATGTCCAGCTAAGGACGCAGTTTGCAGTAATTGTGGGAAGAAAGGACATTTCAAACGGGTCTGCAGATCGATCTCGGATAAACGGTCAACCTCGGCTACTATGCTTGCGCTCTCAACCACAGTCTCGCCGTCCGCTCCGGCACTAGTAAAAATCACTGTGAATAAGATCACCGTTGAAGCTGTAATAAACACCGGAAGCTTCGAAAGCTATATTTCTGAATCTTTCGTGAAACGACACCATCTGAAGGTTATGCGGTCATCTAGTACAATCTTGATGGCAGCCACAAGGTTGGTTAGTCACACGAAAGGTCATTGTCTAGTCGCCATAGACCTCAGGAACAATTCATACGATAATTTCAAACTCTGTCCTTCCACATTTGTGTGCCGGGACATGATTTTTTGAAACTCCACAAAGCAGTTGAAATCCCGTTCAGGGGTAACAGACCCTCTTGCTCTTTGTAACGTAACTGCTTCACGCATCGAACCACCATTTCTCTTCGGGAGCTTGCTACCGGATTTTTAACCCATTGTAACCGAATTACGCCACCACACTCCTGATGACGAGAAATTTACTCTATCAGAAGTTCGTCGCCTTCTTAAGGAGGGTATCATTGCGACTTCAACTTCACCCGGGCGAGCACAAGTCCTTGTAACTAAAAATGAACGACACAAGAGACGCATGGTAGTCGACTGTAGTCAAACTATCAATCGCTACACGCTGTTGGACGCTTACCCACTGCCGCGATTGGACGAAATGGTGTCTAAAATATCACGATACGCTGTCTACAGTGCCTTAGATTTACAAAGCGCATACCACCAAATCGCTATA